TGCATTAACAAATTATAGCTTATAATTAGTCAAATTAGCAAAAATTGACTATATTCATGACGCGCTTGTCAGGCGAAAAACACACTGCCCAAAGATGTTATTATTTATTCTAGTAGATGTGTCATAATACTAAGTAGCTGCAATAGATTGGATACCTGATATCGTTGCACTTTTGAGAAAAAATAATTTACCGCCAGCATACTAACACGAATATTTAATCCGCTGTCTGAATGACGTTTTTAAAAATACACAATATTTAGTTTTCTTCAAGTGATCAGGATAATTTTTAGTTTAGGTTTATGCATAGGCAGGAAATAATAAAATGTGTAAGTTTCAAGAAGTTAGAATAAAAGCGCGAGATGAACTGTGACATATAAAAAAGCTCAAATATCACTGGCGTAATTAACGTTTCAACTTGTTTTCGAACGCGTCCGAAAATAATTGCGAAAAAAATTTTAAAACTGACTACAATTTCAAAGTCAACGTTTTTTGTTCATTTTATGAATGACTTCTTCCACACAGAAAGTTTGAAGGAAATCTGTAATTTTAAGAAATTCGAGTGGTCGGTTTTTACACGAACTGCCTCTTAAAAAGCAAAGGCTGCAGGGAAGAAAGTTAACATGGTAAGGGATAAACTTTTTATTCACAGGGTCTAGTATAATCTGATCACAACTCGCACAAGCATCATTTATTGATTCCACACACGTTTTACCGTACCAGAATACTGAACTCAATATCACTGTCATACTGAACAATATTTATTTATTTATTTAACTTCGCCACTTACAACAAACAAGTGGCTGGGACACCACAACAGTATACACCAATTACTGCGGGCCCTTTAAAAATTGCTAAATTTTAAGAATACATCGCAAAACAAAACTACATCACACAGAACAATATTGAATATTATGCAGTGCAATGCAATACAATACAATGCAATGCAATGCAATACATAGCAAGAACAAGATTCGACTTCCACCGCCATTACCGCCACCACTGGACAATAATATAGTTCATCGAGCTAACCAAATACATGCACATCAGGTCAGCGAGATGTACCGGCAGTGGTGGCGAAAAGCCAAATCCCAAACTCGCTAAAAACAACAAGAGATTGGACTATCCAGACTTCGAGCCTTGTTGCACTTTAGGCAGATAGATTTCCATGTCCGTGGATTATCGTGATCATAGACTAGATTTAAAGCAGTACGGTAATAATCGAGTAATAAAGATTTAAATTTGTTCAATGTTCTCTTTGTCTTAAAACAATTATGAAACACAAAAAGTTTACTGGACTGGACTGGTTTCATAGTGTGCCACATTGTTTAGATTAATTTACAGGAAACTATTAACTCAGACTCAGTATTTAAATGTAAAAGATGCCATCTATTATTCTTTCCAAACGTTATGCATAATGAAACAAAAATGAGGGATGTCTTCTCAAAATCAGATATGGATAGACTAAGCCAGTTGAAAATAAATCCATTTACACTCAATAAAAAAGTAGCATTAAGTGAAAACAATATAAATTCGGATATGCCAAATAATTTAGATACAGTTAACTGCAATTACTATAAGGCCAAATTACAAGAAAAATGAATGAATGAAAATTCGGAAGACTTTTTCTTTATTTTCCATTTAAATATACAAAGTATATCGAATAAATTTGATTCGTTTTAGCAATTGACAACTACATTAAATAAGAAATTTAAAGTAATAGGAATAACTGAATCCTGGTTAAATCATGATAACGCAAATAATTTTGGATTAGAAGGTTATAAATGCATAAACAGAGGGCTGTGTTTACACAACTCGGGCCTTTTAAGCATAAATCGTAGTGGCAGAGAAAGTAACATATGACTATATATAGCTTAATAAATCAGTTCCGGTTCCGGCTGGAACTTTTTTCCGGAACTTAAAAAAATGGTTCTGGTGCACCCCAATCAAATACCAAGTTAATATATACTACTCTTGTCTTGCTATATGCAAAGCGAACGCCATGTCGTCAGACACTTCAAGACTTCAAGAATAGAGCTCACAAATTAGAGCTCGTTAGAGTAAACAGATTGATAAACGTTAAACATCATAATGAAGTGTTAATGGTGTATATTTTTCTCGTGTAGTGCAATTGATATTCTATCTCTCTGAAAATAACAGAGTTCCGGTACACCCCTAGTATTTGAAATTTTTTATTTATAATTACTATTATATCCTTGTGGCATACAGCTATTTCAATCAAGATTGTCCCCGAGCAAAGCGGAAAAGTTGAATACGAGCGTAGAAGGCTTGCTGGGAATCCCTAAAAAATCCACTAATTTATAGCAATTTCCAACAAGCCTTTCTCGTTCGTATAAGACTTTACCGCTTTGCTCGTGGACAAACCTTAATTGAAATAGCTGTATATCACTTAAAATGTTCCCGTTATCAATTTATGGATGATTTGTAAATACTCTTTTTTCGAGATTTCATGAGCGCAAAGTCATTGACGAGTGAATTTATGTCAAGCTCACGAAAAATGTCTTGTTCAGTACTTAGTAATATCAGGTCATTCAACTGTCTCTGACCCATGGTGGATCTGTACAAGTTCTTTATGTAACGCAATATTGAAAAAATCTTTCGCCAGAGCAATTAGATATCATAAGAAAAAGATAAATATAACAAAGGGCGACTTCTATATTTGGAAATACTGTTTCTAGTTTGTTTTCTAATATGAGCTTGTACATCCGAACCTCCAGTGATTCTAGTTTCATTGCATCATTGTTTTCGAATTCCATGGTTTGATCATGCTCATATGCAGCTCATCATTATCATTGAATGACATATCTTCATCATCAGTTGGAGTCGTAGTAACTGGTGAAATGAAGAATCCTCAGATGGTGTGGGCGAGGAATGGATTTCAAAAAGGACTGGTGCTTCTACAGAGCTTGACGAATCCAAGTATCTCTCGGCAAGCTCGGTTTTTAGGAAGGCAGAGAACTGTAATAGCTTGTCTGAAAGACTCGGCTCAAGGTCACCTGGGTAAATTTTACAAAGCTGATTTGCACTCAGTGTCAGTTTGTCGTCAAGTAGCTCCTTCATAGTTATCAAAAATCCAAACCTTGATGCAACAGTGGCGTACAACAGACTGACTTTCTATGTACGGCGGTTTTAATGTAATGGTAATGGTGTAATGCACACGTAATTAAGTGCTACAATGTAGGCGGAGTTAATTAAGTGGTTTACAATGTATTTGTAAAGCTATATTCGTAAGTACTGTCCCCAAATGCATCAAAGCTCCGCTGCTAACTAATTTATCCAGTGATGGATCTAGTGGCATTTGGCAACTACATTAAAGGGCCCCACGCCACCTAGGAGTAAGTAACCTGAAGTTCAGGCCCTAATCACAGAATAGGGCCTGACACAAAACCTATCTAAAGTGTGAGATTCCCGTCCACCTGGTGGACGGGAAATCTGATTGGTTGATCAGCATCATGAAGGATTTTGATTGGTTGCAGTTTAAATAAACAACAGTTTTAAAAATAGCTCGGTCAAGGCGACAATTAATATAAAGGTCAAACGCACGTACAAATTCCATTATCGATTTCTTCGAATTTCTTTTTCTTTTATGCTTTATGGCAGAAAATAAATCAAACAAACAGTATTTTGAAAGGGCTTTTTCAAAATCTTGGACGAATTTTGGACACACGCCGCCGAAAGAACAGCCAAACTAGTCATGTATTCGAAAGCTTGTTGTTGACAGCCAAGATGTTTTGCCAACTGGCTTTGCCAGCAAAAGTCTTATTTTTAATATCAGGTCCTACCGGCGTTGTTTTCTGAGCTACATCGCCTTCTTCGTGGTACGATTGAGAATTTCATTGTTGCTGTTGTGATAAAGTATATCCCTAATATCCGCGTCCAGCAAGTTGAGACCTTGAGAAAGCTTGGCACTCTAGCCGTGCACAGAACTGACTAATTAAATCTTTGTCTGAATCTTATTTATATAAAAGTACCTTGAATTTTTAAGTTTAATCACAAAATAAATAATAAGACCAGAAGTCTCACTCGATGTCGGAATCTTTGATGTTGATGTCCTCGCGCATGTCGCCTCGCGCATCTTGGCCGTGTCTCGTTTCCAGTGCCCTAAACAAGTGTAATTTGACAAATTTTCATGTAAACATTGAGGAGTGAGAAAGTTAAAACGATACCAATCGAGTTTTATAGCTTTGGTGACCATTTTAAAAGAATATATCATAAATTCAAAGGTAAGTCTATCGTACTGCATTGTCTTAAATTAATTCTCAGCTAAAATACGGCAATAAATGGATCATAAACTTAGCTAAATTTACTGTTGACAACGAGGTTGACAGATCCATTGCTTTTTTGCCTTGAGTAGCTTTACCATAGTCATTTTACCTTAAAATGTAGCTGCTGAGGATATCTCTAAGAGATTTACCAAGATTATTTGCACAATCTCACGATTTAATCATGCTGATAACATGAAAGTCCTTGTGCCATTCTATACTTGGCATAATCTCTACATCAATAGTTCACCAGTTCACTAATATAAATTCAATATATTTTTGAACCAGTCCATATATTATTATGCACAATGTAGTATAGTTAATTTGACCATATTTGAGAAGTTAGGGTGTATTTCATTACACAGACACTGCTGAATTTTAGGTTACATGCCATTGGATTGATATATAAAAAACACTTGTAAAACACACATTATCTTAAGTTCTTTGTATGTTTGCATGGTGATAAAATATAATAGGTTTTGTTTGTGGAAACACCATGTAAATTATTGTTATTATTAGCACTGATGAAGATCCGGGCTTACGGATCGAAAGCTTTGCAGTAATAAATTTACGTGGTGTTTCCACAAACAAAACCTATTACACATTATCTTGTTGATAGAATAGTTATTTGCAGTATACTAACTGTTGGCATACTCTATTTCAGGACTATCAATTGTTTTTGTCACTGGCAGTCTTTGAAATACAATCTTGCTTTACTGACAAGTTGGCTTTTACTACATATGTGGCACTGACACTTCTTTAATTAATGCACCAGTTAATGTAAACCCCCCAACCAGGGAGGGGCAGGGATTTTGACTTGGAGGGGTAGTAAAAGAGAGAAATTGTCCCCACCCCCAGGGACATCAATGTCCCCCAGGGTCTTAGCTAGAGGGCCGTGTTAGCCGTGTTATCACGGCCAAAAATGGAAAAACACGGCTAGATAAAATGAACGCGGCTTCATTATTTATATAAGGCCGTGTATGTTCATAAAATAAGATGTGCTACTTGCAACAGACAGAGTTTATTTCTATTTACGTTATAAGAAAGTTTGTAAAATCTGTTGTTGTTGAAATTGGCAAAAGTGATCTGTGATGTTTTAATGTTTTGATGGATAATGGGAACTGTATGGTGTTAAAATGGTTTTAAATACCCCCAAGAGTTGCTGAAATAACTTAATATTTTAATGTCAGTGAGCAAAATGAGTATATGCTTGCCTTGTATTTGGTTGCAAAGCATAGAACAACCATAGGCATTGTCCGTTGTTGTAGAACCGTAAAATTGGCTATGCAAGGTAATTGACATGTGCACACCCTGGTAATTTAGAAACACACCCAAGATCTAAAATCCTAGCTAAGACCCTGATGTCCCCTGCATGTCTCTCAACCCCAGGAAAATAGTTTTGTATAATCATAGATCAGCAATAGAAAATCAAATTCATTTATGTTGTTGTATTTAAACTTTTCTTGTCAAAACTAAAACAGCAACACAGGATATATATGTTAACCACTGTCCAAGTCTCCCATCATCGGGGACAAATTTATAATCAAAACTGACTACTTTCCCTGCTAAACCTTTCGCCCCTCCCCGGTTGGGGGCAGGGATTTACATTGACTGGTGCATAACTAGATGATTGCATGAAGCATTGCATGGAAGTTGATTTATAATTAGTTTATGAATAAACTCACACTTTCATTATAATGGTTGATCGAATATATCAAATGCATTTGATTGGTTGATGGTCCCTTAATGGTAATGGTAGTCAAATCTGAACCTATATAATGTCAATATACTGGAAAAGTATCAAATTAAATTTTAATTGTCAATGTTGTGGGAAGTAAATAAATCAAACAATTCTGTTTGTTTCAACTAACTAGTTCACTATCACTTTGGTTTTCAAATCAAAGAATCTTTAGCCTGGTTGAGCTTTTGAAAAAGTAGCTGCTTGATTAAACGCAAGATTATTTTACTCTGTCTAACGCCAGACAATTTCACTTGTCAAGGGGAAAGTGCTGCCACTCAGTGAACTCAATCAGAGCTCAATGAGCAGCAGCACTCTCCCTCGATAAGTAAAATCATCTGGCATTAGATGAAGTGAAATAAACTAGTAAAGCAGGGTGCATTGGGGCACAATGCAGCTAGCTTACTGGGTTAACTGGAAAATATATTTATTAAACAATACACACCCTATACTTGTATTTCAATTCACAACATGATTTGGTATGCTTATGTCTATTTGACCCAAGTACCTGACAGGAATGATATTTGAATCACACCTGTATTCATTGAACAAAGCTAATCTAAATGTACATTAATTGTACATGAACCATGTAAATGTAAAAACTAGCTAGAGCAAAAACACACCCACACAGCTTTGTTTTTTATTTTTCTTGAGAAGGAATAACTGAGACTACTGAGTTACAATGAGAGTCACTACAGAAACTGTATTCTGTGATATAGATGATATTGCTTTAAAGAAACTTGCAGCTTTTAGCAGTTGTGTAAGGGCCTGTTTATATTGAAACTGGCTAACCCGGTAAGTGAGACAGCCCGGTAAGTGAGATCTCGCTGTCTAGTTATTTTTATAGTACAAATTATCATTTCTATGGACAAGCGGGCAGGCCCGGTTGCCAAGACCAGGATGGAAATTTCTCCACATAAACAATCATAAGCAGGCTAGCCCGGTTGCCAGGATGAAAGTTCAAAGATACTGCCGCAAGCTATTTTTAACAACTGTCAAAATAATGTCAAAACAACAAAATTGTCCTGGTAAGCAGAATGAAATTTTCTCAAATAAACACAAGAGAAATCATCCTGCTTTAATACCTACCTTACCGGGCTGTCTTGCTAAGCGGGCCAACCCAGCTTCCATACAAACAGGCCCTAACAGTCTCTGTCAGGCAATTACAATGTTCTGATGTCCAAACTCTAAAGTATTATAAACAAGCAGAACAGACCACTTATTGCAAGTTGCTAGTATTAAGTCATATCAACATGTGATCTCGACAATATACAGTGTATAAACTAAAGTAATTCAGCTTCTACACATGAAGCGACTTTAAACACTATCCTTACACTTTATCAATTCATTGAAGTTTGTACTTAAAAGACATTCTATTTGTAGTATTAAATCATAAGACATATTCTATTCGTAGTATCAAGTCACATCAGGATTTTATAATCTAGCGTCTTTGGACCCAAGTGATCTAGAGTTCTATCTTGTTAAAACCTATCCAAGGAAAAACAAAAAAGGGATATTGAAGTAATGGTGTTTTTGAGCCAAATAAATTCGAATATCCACAAGTATAAAAGCAGAACTCAGTATATACCGGAGACAAAATGGCATCATAGCGAACACATTTTAATGATGCTCAAATTTATATTCAGTGCGCTATATTTTTAAAAATATGACCCTGTTTGCTTTCTAAATACAACAAAATTACTGCTTTACCTTCTGTTCAAATAGTTCCACAGATAAATCGAAGTCACAATTCGTACTACTTGAAAAAAAGCTGTTTTTACTGTAGAAATGACAACTTCCCAATATAATTTTCTATTGTCAACACTGCATTACACTTGTTTAGCTCGCGCATGCGCAGTATAAAAGATGGGACATGTTTCCGCTTGAGTAAGACTTCTGGTCCTATTATCTATTCTGTGGTTTAATTATAAAGCAAAATGCACACTCTGCGGACATGTTCATGAGAATATAATTTTTTTGTGTAACGAAATCTATAACACTTGTCAATCATATTGCATGTTGTGTCTAAAAATAACATGTGGGCGTCCCACGGTCTAGACAGGTTTTGTGTCAGGCCCTATTTCAAATTAGGGCCTGAACTTCAGGTTAAGAAGTAAGGGGCCCCGCTAGGCAAAAAATAGAAATAATAATTAATAATATAGCATCATAACTCTTAGCCTAAATCGCGGGCCCCTGGAAGACGCAGGGCCTGTGGAAGACGCGGGGCCTGTGGAAGACGCGGGGCCTGGTGGCACTATGTAAAACCAGCGCTGCGTAAACAGATAAAATAAAAAAGGAGGAGGGTTGGCAAAAATATGTGACTGAAAAAAATTAATAATTGAATCAAGTTTTATTGAAATAATTGCATCAACTGGTAAAAATATAATTGTTGGTGTTATTTATAATAAATACGATACCTTTGAAATAGAAATGAATGGCAATTTGAACAATAATGACAAGGAAAATAAAATTTGCTATCTTATTGGTGTCTTTAATATCGATTTACTTAAATCAGAATCCTGTGATTGCTCAAACAAATTTATTGAGCAACAATTTACCTTTTCTTTTTATCCACTTATGACAAAACCAACACATGTTACTGCACACACAACTACACTTATTGCTAACATTTTTACAAACAATATTCAACAAATTGACACAAGTATAAATGGCATAATCTTTGGTGATATTTCAGATCACTTACCTGTAGTTCATATGTGCACTATGAATACAACTTATAATACAAACACTGATAAAAACAGTGGTAGCTGTTACAAAAGAATGATCAATAACAAAAACATAAGTCTATTCACAGAATCATTAAAAGAGTTAACATGGGATAGTGTAACAACTGAAAGTGATCCCATACAATGTTTTGAAAATTTTTCTGAAATATTTTCAGAAAATTATGAATCAATCAGTATCAAATGAAAAGTTGTTAACAAAGTCAAAAGTCCATGGAATCATGGATGACACAATGCATATTAAAATCTGTCTGGAAAAATCATATATAGTTTATAAAAAGTGTTTACTACATATATTTAACAATTATACCATGAGCTCGAGTCGTATATGAGCTGATAGCCAACAAGGTGCATAGCACCGAATTGGCTATCAGCCATATACAACGAGAGTGAATGGTATAATTGTTTTGTCCTTGAAAATTTGAAATACTTTTGTTTTGGCCTTGAAAATTTCAAATACTTTTGTTTTACAACTCGAAGACGAACTGAAAGAAATGGTTTTAGAACCGGTATATCTCACAGAAAAGCTCAGATATATTATACAGGTGTTTGGTAGTATAGTAAGTGCTTGTTGACTGCAAGATCATTTGTCTTTCGTTGCAAACTTTTCTGAACAATTTATATTCTCAATGAACATGTTTTTTTCGCTGTTGTTTCGGTATTAATTCTTTAAACAAATTTGTATTTAAACTAATTTCTATGTAATAAATGTATTTTGCTAACCTGTGAATTTTTTTTGAGTTTTTCCTTGTACTATTATCTTTCTTAAAGTGAATATTTTCCTTTTTTCTGCTTCGCAAAACTCATGTAGGTTTTGGACCGCCATCTTGTTTTTCACTACTTGCCATATATCAGCAGATATACAGTGAGCAATTCAACCAATCAGATTGCAGAACAGCTAATATACGGTGAATGATTATATTATAATACTATACTAGAAGTTACTATCGCAAGTGAAGTGCTGCCGCTGTATACACCACATGATATATATGAAATACTTCCAAATTTGTAGATCTTGGAGCGTGGGGGATTCTGGGTAATATTACCCTAAGTGATATTCCGAGGGCGAAGCCCGAGACTGGGATTAGGATTATATTCGTGTATTTTTGGACATGAACGAAATATATATATGCGAAATATATTTAGTTAATCATTCATTCCAAGGAAATTTTATAGCTAGAGTACGAAATAGGAAGTTTGTTGGTAGAATTTATGATGTGAACTGTGTCTTTGAAGTTGAAAATTTGTACTTGTTAAGCGGTTGTTCTAGCAATATCAGTGTCGGCTTGGACATGGTGGGGACTAATGGAACTCACAATTTGAGTAAAAAGAAGACGAAACTTTGAGACAGTAATATTTGGAATATATTTTAGAATAAAGTCAATGAATTTGAATTTGAAATATGAATTTGAATATGAAATAAATTCGAAATATTACTGTCTCAAAGTTATGGGAATCAATAATTAGACTGTGCTTATAGTTAAGGAATCAATAATTAGACTGTGCTTTTGCAGGCTCGCAAATATGCTTAAAACGCAAAAAAGAAAATTGGTCAAAATATTTTAATAAGGAAAGATCAGAAATATCATAATTAGCTAATTAAGTACTATGGTTTAAATCTATAATTTACAAATATACTTTTGCAGAACAGTTAATATGGAATTACACATACATAAATATAAAATATGGCATATGCTATAGTATGGTTCAAAGTTCCAAATAGCAACAAAATTTTAATCTTGTGCATAAAATTACAAAAATCTCTGGTTGTGAGCCCCACTACATAATGGTATATAGTCTAGGACCTGCATATGAGTTTGTATGCGATTCATTTAGGACAGGTAATCTCAACTGTTTTAGGGTAAAATGACCATGGCGGTCAACATGGCATATGTGCGAAAACCTGAATCCGGGACAAAAGTCCTGAAAATGACCCCGCCCTGAAACGGCAGTGTCGACATAGCTTTTCTGAAGTGCTTATAGTGTTTAGAAGGGTTGCTTTTAGGGGTGGTCATTGGAAGGAAAATTTTGTCTAAGTATAATATTTTACCAGAAATGACTATGCACCACCCCAGGTAAATTGCTGATTATGCACAAAATAACTAATATGCCTGGCAGAAATTAAATATTCTTATTTCCTAAAAAAAATTATTATGGGGTGAAAAACTATGCTTAATTTAATATAAATATTGTTGATTTCATAAGGATTGTCATTGTTTTCTTTAAATATAATACATTTTATTTCACTTACCCCCCCACGAAAACACGATTTCAGCCATATTTTGCCGTCTTGTTTGCTTTTTATCGCCGAATCTCGCAAATATCATCCAGTTATTGTACTTTTACATAATTATAAATGGCTGAAGAAGATTTCAAAGAAGGTTTCATCCACTTTTGTAACAGTGCAGTGTATTTTATCTTCGATATTGTGTCCTTCGATATTTCGTCAAATTGCCGCCATTTTAATGGCTCGCCGCTTCTCTGCCCGATAAATGCCACTTCTTCGTTTTCATATGTATTTAGATTACATTATCCAAGAGTACTTCCTTGTAGAATAGTACCAATCCAAAAATTGAAAATATTATTGGTACTTGGGAGGAAAAAACCTCCCATAATAGTTGTCCTGTTTGAATTCAAAAGAAATAATTTAAAAGTCACGCGCAAGTTCGCGAAAACACCTCGTGTACTACATGACAGGGGGTGAATATTTTAACGAAACGTTTGTTCGCCACCACAGCAACCTAACTAAATGTATTATATTTTTTGTATTTTTATAATTGGTACGCAAATATTTATTGCTTTTATCATAAATCACAAATATACAATAAATATAATGTACTTAGTTAGGTTGCTGTGGCCTGTGGTGGCGAACAAACGTTTCGTGAAAATATTCATTCCCCCCTGTTATGTAACCCATGAGGTGTTTTCGCGAACTTGCGCGTGACTTTTAAATTATTTCTTTTGAATTCAAACAGGTCAACTATTATGGGAGGTTTTTTCCTCCCAAGTACCAAAAATATTTTCAATTTTTGGATTGGTACTATTCTACAAGGAAGTACTCTTGGATAATGTAATCTAAATACATATGAAAACGAAGAAGTGGCATTTATCGGGCAGAGAAGCGGCGAGCCATTAAAATGGCAGCAATTGGACGAAATATCGAAGGACACAATATCGAAGATAAAATACACTGCACTGTTACAAAAGTGGATAAAACCTTCTTTGAAATCTTCTTCAGCCATTTATAATTATGTAAAAGTACAATAACTGGATGATATTTGCGAGATTCGGCGATAAAAAGCAAACAAGACGGCAAAATATGACTGAAATCGTGTTTTCGTGGGGGGTAAGTGAAATAAAATGTATTATATTTGAAGAAAACAATGACAATCCTTATGAAATCAACAATATTTATATTAAATTAAGCATAGTTTTTCACCCCATAATAATTTTTTTAGGAAATAAGAATATTTCATTTCTGCCAGGCATAGTAGTTATTTTGTGCATAATCAGCAATTTATCTGGGGTGGTGCATAGTCATTTTCTGGTAAAATATTATACTTAGACAAATTTTTTTCTTCCAGTGACCACCCCTAAAAGCAACCCTTTTAAACACTATAAGCACTTCAAACAGGCTATCGCTTTTCCTTTTTGGAAGTTAGAGCTATTTCGACACTGCCGTTTCAGGCGGGGTCGTTTTCAGGACTTTCGTCCGGGATTCAGGTTTTCGCACATATGCCATGTTGACCGCCATGGTCATTTTACCCTAAAACAGTTGAGATTATCTGTCCTAAATGAATCGCATACAAACTCATATACATGTCCTAGACTAATTGCAATTTTTTTGTAGAGAAGATATTATATTATTGCATTTTTAACCGATATCGATTTTAAAATGAAAGCTGACATTTACTGGTTTAATTATATACTGTAATCTACAAAACGTGTGAAACCTTCACGAATCTGCTTTGATAAATTTATTCCTACTCTATTAAAATCATTGTTGAAAATTTCAGCCATATGCATATCACCGCTACCTGTCGCTATATATTATCATTAAATTTAACGCTAGTTACATTCGTTGTTTTTAATATACAATTTAATTTTTGGGCCGATAGAAAGATAATTTTCTGCATCCGAATATGAGACTGCGGTCACTGGTCCCCAAATGCACAACCCAAGAATTAATAATATTCTCGGGTTCATTTGTTATGAACAAGTCCAATAGTGTTTGTGTATCTGTCAATCTGAAGTGATTCGTGTTGGTTCCTCAATCACCTGTGTAAGTTGAAAAAAATTTACCATATCAAGGAATCGATTAGTAATGGAGGATTTATCATCTGGTATATTAGAAAATACATACAGTACATGCAGAAACCCTCGCCTTGCTGACAAAACCATTGTATTTTCCGAACATGAAGTATCTAAAGTAGTTGTCATGGTAGCACGATAATTTTCTAAGAATATTCTTACAAATGAAAAATCGCCTAAAAATATCGCTTTTAATTACAAAATTATTAATTTCCCAACATATAAATACAAACTGAAATTCGACTAAATAGTGCAGGTTATCTGAGTTAACAATAGTTAATCCAGTCAGATAACCTCTGGTTTATTTGAGACGTGTTGTGGTCGCAAATAAACGAAAACTTCTTATACAAAATGTCGGAGCGAAAACGAACAGTTGACAAACTAACGCCATTTTGGCGACATAAAGTACATTAATTAGACGGAGAAAAAGGCGGAAAACACATGGCCGCGTTGAAGTTGTTAATATTTATCGTTTTTATTAAATATTTGTTTTAAAAACCTATGAAATGAGTGAATGTTTAGTGAACCAGCACGTAAATGTAGGTCTCGACTACATTTTTGGTCCTTCGACAGTCGGATTGTAGAATTTCAAGGGAAATTCGAGTAAATATCGAGGGGTAAAAATACGTAAATATTGGTTTTATATATTGTCCTATTGGACTTGTTGCATCATCGGCAAACAAGAAAATTTGGATTTTCATCGGAATTAAAGGAAATTCGACAATCGTAAGTACATTTTGGATTGTATTTTGGTTGTATATTGTGAACATTATCGTGGGGAAAAATGAGTGATACAGAAACAACTGAGAACGAGGCTCAAGAGACGGTGGTAATAGTTATATCGGATTTTAAGAAGCAGAAACGAAATGCAAAATCGTTGTTGACACGTTTGTTAACACAGTTATCCTGTTTGTTGTCAGAGGAAAACCCTAATCGAGAGAATATATGCCATTTATTGGTTAAAATCGATGAACAGAAAGACATTTGTTTGGAGGTATTAGATAAGCTTGAGGAAGCATACCAGAAAAGTGGGGATAAACAAAACGCATTAAGAATAGGTGATGAATCGGACAAAATAGCTGAGCAAGTGGATGTTGAAACACATGCCTCACGTCAATTTTTGTTATCGTTAGTCAAGAAATCTGTGCATTTAAAAAACAATGTTGCTATGGCAACTGAATCTCAACCGACCAATACACAACAGCTGGCCCAGGAAATTATTACTACAGAAAATATGGAAACACCCTTGTTGGAAAATGATGGAGTACAAACTGAATCGAATAGCAGTTTGCCGCAAGAGACACATCAAGTAAACAGTAACATTGCACATGAACAATTATCAAGTGGAAACAACACTACATTTGTTGACAATGGAATTGGAACACAGTTGTCTGAGTCGTCCAGCAGCCAATCGGAATTAAACACGACTTCACAAAGTGGAAGTGCTCGCAGAGTGGATGGACATTTGGAGCGAATTCGAATTCCTATTTTTACAGGAGACAAAATGAAGTTTCAACAATGGAATGCCGCTTTTACTAGCTGTGTAGATAAAAAGTCATTGAGTCCACAGTTCAAAATGCTTAGACTAGAATCATGTTTACGAGGAGAAGCAGCCGATACAGTTAGGGGACTTGGATACTCGCAAGAAGCTTACAATGCTGCAAGGGCTAGATTGGAGAGAAAGTATGGTGGTAGTCGGAGACAGGTTCAGAGTCATTTAGAAGAATTAAAAAAGTTGAACCATTACAAGAGGAAAATGCCAGAGAATTGGAAATCTTTGCACATGTTTTAGAGCGGGCTGTCATTTGCCTCAAAGAGAATGGTAGACAAGCGGATCTTGAAGCTGGAACTTTATACACCATTGTTCTTGAGAAGATCCCGGAGAAATTACTCTCCCAAATACTACAGATGGCTAAAATAGAAACAAAAGGAAGAATGCATGGAGACATTAAAGGATTGGATTTCCCAAGAAGCTGAGTACCAAATTCAGGCCTCAGAAATTAAGCATGGGTTTCGGAAGATACGAGCAGAAAGAGTCGATGGAAGCGGAAGTGGTTCCGGTCGAGGCGGACGGACCTTCTATGGAAAACCAGTTGATGGAGGTGACAAAAGAGTCAAGAAATGCCAAGTTTGCACAGAGATCCACCCTATTTGGAAGTGTACAAAATATCGAGATCAGTCAATAGAAGACAAGTGGAAAATGGCAAAGAAGTTAGGTTTGTGCTACCGTTGCCTTGGTGACAATCACTTAGGAAATGCCTGCAAATGGAACAGACAATGTAATATAGACGGTTGCAATGAGACCCACCACTATTTGCTTCATAGGCCAAGGGATCCCTCTAAGGCACCCAGTAAGGAGAAAGATGACAATATGAAGGTTGAGTCAGGACCAGGATCTAATACGGAGGGGGATGACCAACGAAAGACATATGGAGCAACTCGAGGACAGGAAACAGAATATGTTGCTTTGCGAACAGTCCCAGTCATTGTAAAGAATGGAAACAAGAGGATTCCTGTAAACTGTCTTTTGGACGAAGGCAGTGATACGAGCTATATTAACGAAGATGTTATTGAGGCTTTGGGGTTGCATGGAGCCAAAACGGAGATTAATGTGAAAGTGGCTAATGATGAAACAGTCACTTTTATGTCATCAACATTTGATGTCGGGTTGGAAAGTACTGATGGTCGCGTGGACACCACAATAACAGTGCAATCGTCAAAGAAAATTTGTGGTGGTATGAAACCAGTCAATTGGATAAAGATTAAACACAACTGGCAGCATTTACAGAAGATTTACTTTCCAAAACTAGTAACTGGACGACGAGTGGATATTCTCTTAGGAGCGGATCATCACGAACTGATGTATTCAATGAAAGAAGTAGTTGGAGAGCATGGTCAACCATCAGCAAGGCTCTGTCCACTCGGGTGGACAGCGGTTGGAAAAGTGAATGGTACTGAATCGAATGGATCCCATCATACTGGGTTTCATCACACGTATTTGTTGAATCAAGACAAGCCATCGATTGAAGTTCATCAAACAGATAGGAATCTTGATGAAATGCTTAAGCGGTTTTGGGATTTAGAGAACATTGGAATCACACACAAAGAATCTCCCATTTTAGAGATGACACCAGATGAGAAACTTGCTTGGACAAAAGTGAGTGAATCAGTGAAGTTCAACGGGCAGCACTATGAAGTAGCAGTTCCTTGGCGCGATGGTCGACCGAAGCTTGCACCTAATAGTTCATTGGCGAAGCAAAGGCTCGATTCTACAGAACGAAAGTTACTCAAAGATCCAGAATTGGCAGTGGCTTATCAGGGAGTCATTAACGAATATTTAGAGAAAGGATATATCAGACAAGTGCCCTCGGATGAACCGAAACCAGAATGTGAGTGGTTGTTGCCTCACTTTCCTGTTGTGCGACCGGACAAGAGCACAACAAAAGTTCGAATTGTTTTCGACGCATCGGCAACTTGCGAAGGGAAAAGCCTGAACACAGAATCCCTACCTGGTCCTAAACTGCAAAGTGACATTGTGGACATATTAGTGAAATTTCGCAAGGATTCCGTGGCTTTAGTCGGAGATATTAGCCAAATGTATCATCAGTTGGTTCTCCTGCCAGAAGA